CCCCAAAACCCCAAAACCCCAAAACCCCTCAAAACATTTATTTAACTAATGAAGTTGAAATTATATTGAAAATAAATTAATTTTAGAATACAAACAATTTATCGTATTTAGTAACTGGCATATTAGAACAGACTTATAAGTTATCATTTTATCATATCGTTAAGTTTTCTCTTTTATTTATTTGTTAACTTGCTCATGATAACATATGAATCTCTGTACTCACACCATTATTTTCTGAGAACTTCTTATAGATTTGCAGCTCTAATGGGCGAATCTAAAACGGCTGTCTATTCAAGCATTCTTTGGATTGATCTCTCTTTTGTTTCTTCCTCTGATAGTATTTTATCTCTTAATCTTTTCTAAGCTCTCATTGAAGCTTTTAAACCTTCTTAAGCTTTATAATCCATCATAGATTCTTATAAAGTGTGTAAAGTGTCCTAGATTTTTCTCTTAAGTGCAGGTTATCTTTCACATTATGCAAGACAATCATTCATTTCCTTAATAAGAGTAGGATTTACTTAGAATTTGTTTACTTGCTAAGTTGATATATCATTATTATCAAACCTACCCCCATTACTAAGTTTTGAAAGATAGAGCTAATCCTGACTTGTATTCAAAGAATTAGGGACTGTTCTTGATGGTTTCCAAGGTTTAAAGTGGTCACCAATTTTCCTCATTGATGGTAAATTAGCCTCTAGCCATGAGACTAGTTTATCCTCATTATAAGCTTCAGAAGAATCAAGTTATGGTCCTCTACAGAATAAAATGGCATCAGTTGCAGACATTAAAGTCATTACAAATCCATATTCTTGACTAACAAATTCAATTACAGATTCTCGATTCATCTGTTATTTTTTATTCTTATTTTTGTACCTATCAAGTCTATCAGCAATTGCATCTCTAGTCAACTTTGCATACCTATAGTCCATGTGGTTTAATTTCTTTCTATGAGAGCTCATCTGTCCTGAGTTAGGTTCTTATCTGTTCGAGAGACTTGGCAGCGCATTTCCGTCTTTGTTTGAGCTTCTGTGTTTATTGAATAAATTCTTAAGATTATTATTATCTACTTTCTAATTGATGCTAATATCACTGAATTCAAGCTTATTTCTCTGCTTTCCAAATTATTCAATTTGCTGCAATGTTTATTGATTATTCTGTGATATATTCAAGTAGCGTTATTGAGACTTCGAACTAGATTTAGCTCCAAGATCATTTGTGTTTAAGCCATTTTTTTAGAGTGATAAAGCTCCGTTCATTTCTAAAAAATAAACTAATTAAATATTTGTTTAATATTTTCGTAAAATTTGCTGTAAATACGCCATTATGGGGTTTTGGGGTTTTGGGGTTTTGGGGTTTTGGGG